AACAACGAGAGCTACTAAACGTGCGGAAATGCAACATCCAAGAGAAAAGATTGCTTTCGTATGGCCTGCCGTAATAGTCAACTCGTGCAGAGGGCACCAGTGCCCTCTGGTTAGTGTGGGGGGCGAGTGAGAGGGGAGGGGGTGCCCTACATACCTCTGGAATAAAAGCTGGCACCCTGCCCCGACTTGTCGTGTTATTAATACCCCCCCCCCCCCCCCCCCCCCCCCGCAAATTATAGGCATCACAAGCCACTGTTGGGCTTGGATCAGACTCCTTCTTTGTGTGGCTTTAGCAAACTTTCACGGTGGCGAATTTTAATATTCCACCCCCCCTCCCCCAGAATTGTTTTAAATGTAAAATTGGTTTTAATCAGCCCCAGAACAGACATGTGCGTTCAGTGCCAGACGTGACACATGTAATAGTACTGTTTGTCACTGGCCCCTCTGGCATGTACGGCCTTTTGATCTGTGCTCAACAATCATGGGGACTCATCTAAGTACTATAAACTATTTTTTTTCACCAGGTAAGGCCCACTGAGCTATATAGCTCTTTTTCAGAAGCGACCTGGCCACATGATAGCTCAGCGTTGTAGCTTATCACGTGGAAATGTATAGCAGCCAAATGCTCGTTGATTCTGAATGTGGAGGGAAAAAACTGAAGACCCGGAGAAGAATCCACTCGATCAAATATACAGGCGTCAGGGTCCGGATCGAACCCATGACCAGGCAGGGTAGTTACCATCTCGCTACCGTCGCGCCCCTTAACCAGGCTAACCAGGCCCAAACTCTGCTTAGCTTCCAGGATATGATGGGCGCAGGGTACGTGAAGGGTGCATCGGCCGAAAGCAATGTTAACGTTCATTTAAAGCCACGTCAGAAACTAAAAACCACTCGTCATTACGGTTGAGATTCATACTTAATATCTAAACAATCACGGGTAATCTTGGCGAGGTCTTTCCATGCCTGTGATTGTTTAGATAATAATACCACTCTCGTATCTCGTTTCATAACTGTTGCACCTCTTCTCGTTTTGGTCTCCTGCGTCGTCGTCAACTCGCTCCCCTCCTCTCCGCTGTGATTGTTTACATTCTTCCCTTTCCTTTCCCTTCATGTTACCTCGTTCCCACTCTCAGCACCGAAGACCGGAGGTATGCTATTTCACATGCAGCATGTCTGATTAAATTCCTAATCCTTTCTCACCGTGTGTGGTGCGCGCGCGTGCGTGTCTGTGGGTCTGCATGTCTTTCCCTTTGTTGTGCGAGGGTGGCGCGCCGCCCACCTACCCCTTCGTGTGCCGTGCCAGCCCTCATAGGTGCTGCTCGCTAACGGCACTTTCCCCAAACGCCTGTTGAGGCTATACGGGGGATCTTTGTGTGCCCTAACACGGTGAGCCGTGAAGTCGTTAAGCGTCGTGAAATGCCTTGATTATAACCGTTAATTACTTAAAGAGTGTGTAAGAGAGGCAGTGAGGTGTGCACGTGTCTTCATACTGGGCGAACACCATTGATTCACAGTGGCCGGTTCTTGTGAATTACACAAAATCTACATTACTTTCTTCTTTATCATCACCACCATCAGCCACGATCTTATCCACTGCTGGACAAAGGCCTCCACGAGCCGGCACGGCTATCTATCCTATCACGGTGGGGAGCGATCCATCGAGCACCCGCACACTTGTCTGATTTTATTCGCTCCATCTCCGCAGCGGCCATACTCTCTCTCTCTCGGGCGTGTCACCTCGTTTGGCTGCCGCTCTATCATTCATTGTGTAGTGACTAACTCGGAGACACTAAAAGTTGGAGGCACTTATTTTATTTAACCGAGCACTCTTTGAACAACACACACCCTACGCTGGTACACATTCTTCTGTCGCTCGCTTATACACAACTCTACGGGCGTCGCTAGCCGATACACAACGCGAGCCGTCTAACACTGACGGCGCTGAAACGAGACAGCCAACTACCGTCTAGCAGCGCAATGTCGAGTGAAGACGACAGCGACGAGACAACAGCGACGATGGCGACGATCTTCAGCAGCACAACGGAGATCCCACTCCATACGACAGCCCCGAGCACTCGCTCAGAGCCCCCTTTTATGCTCCCAGCGTGGCCTAGCTCCGCCCTAGCCACACCCCTTCTAGAACCTACCAGCGGCTTCCCGGGACCTGCCCCACGTCCCCCTTCTGTGACCTTTCCCCCAGATATCCCCTCTGGTGTGTCACGTGTCCTGCTGACGTCAGGGCTGCTGTAAGCCGCAGATCCCCTTCCCTGCCAGCAGCCAGCGCTATGCTGCTGCATTACTTATTCTATGCCACTACAATTACGATGTCGTTCACATCTCAGAGCCAGGTCCCTTCAGATGACTCGACTGATCAACCCAAGTTTAGGGCAGCACTTTCCGTCACGCCCCGCTATAGAGAGGAACATTCGTCGCGTGACAGTCAAGCGATATATATATATATATTTCTTTAAATCTCAGGGAGCTGGAATGAAGCCAAATTAAGTGTAGAACCCAATTTGACGTGGTGGTGTTTTGCCGATCAGGCTGAGATCATAACCTCCACTGCACTTGAGAAACTCGGTGTAATGGCTGGCGGCTGTATCCATGGATTCGAACTCAGAATCTGAGTGGCGCTGGCTATAGCGCTATGACCAAGGCCACCTCTTCCAGCCACAGTCGTGAAGTCCGCAGCGCAAATTCCACTACCACCACCCACCATCGACCTACCCAGACCTCGTGCCAGCACTGGGCAACCTCTCGGTGTTTTCTACTTCCTCCAGCGCCGAACAAACCTGCCGGGTTCGTTTGCACGGTCGCATCTGGGATTCGCATGGTCGCATTGAGTAGACAACGAGCAAAGAACTGTTATGTTCATCGTGGTAATGATGCTGACAATGTGGAGAGGTGGGGGGGGGGGGCTTATATGCTCTCGGTACATTCGGCATGAAATACTCGCGTGAACAGTGGCGACCGATGGTTATCGTGCTGCTGGCTGTCACCGCGAGTGGCGTGGAACGACCGTTTTGTTGTCGGACTAACAACACAACAGCCTGCCGTGAGAAGAGTAGCACGATGTTGTTCTCATGCGGTTGTGCGTGCGCGAATTTTGGAACTTTGAACGTCTTCCCCCGATTGTAAGGTCGAACGAAGGCTTGAATGCGCAACCGGCTCCGTGCGTCTGTCCGTAACGACGATCCGGTGTGAACGGGAAAAACTCTTGAGGCCTTCCGTGTCAATTAGAAGCGCGTGGCCTTTAAAAATACCTTTTTTTTAAATAGGCGACGTTTCGGGCAATGACCCTACTTCATGGCACATGAATGGAGAGGGGGCCAGTAGAGAGAGTGGACGATACGAGTTGGAGACTGCACTTGTTTACACCATGGGGCCTGATGAGAATTCAAAGTAAAAACAAATATTCTGATTAGCAGGACTGTTGGTCGAAACGTTGCCTCATATATTTATCATTTTAAGGTCACAGTGTTAGTTGACGAATGTGTTTTTGTTAAGTGTGCCTTGTGCACGACTCGCCAACAGCAGCAGCAGCAACGTCAACTAATTAGTTAACATGTGAACACAACTCGGACATACATTTGTGTGGCTATTATGCTATAGAAATCCAGCCACATTTGTTCACATGATAGAACCCAACACTTGGAGAACAACAGAGACTACTTGCAAATATCCACGCAACTTTTTTTTTTTTGCCAGGACAGCTGTCCATCCCCTACCCTGCTGCAGATTTTTTTTTCTCCCGGCTAATCTAGAATTCCGACACCATAGTCAACTCCCGCCTTCACGATGTTTTTTTAGTCTCTAGCTCGCGAACATTGGAAGGTTTACACTATTGGAACCTCATTTGCCAGAAGAAAAAATATGATAATTGGTTTTTTACCCTTTTATCTGGCAACAAAACTGACACCTTGTTTTTACAAGGAGTCATGTTTGCATAGACCACAATACCTGCAGTCGTAATGCAAACAAAAAACACAACTCTGATAATGTATGCACTGTCCTTGAAGGTGATTGGTCCACACCCTAGACAGCTTTCCTTAGAGCCTAGTCTCACATGGTGTCAGACCAGATTTGTTGCTAGATAAAAGGGTAAAAAAACAATTATCATTGGAAGGTTTCTTTGGTTTTCTTGAAATGTCATATTGCATTGAATTGTCACATATATACTGACATAGGTGACAGTGGCATGACTCAGAAATTGCAGGGTTGTTCCTTTACCCGTCCACGGGTGGCGACTGTGGCCGTATGGGATCGCGTTTGCCACCTGACCCAGAGGTTTGCGCTTCAATCCCACCAGACACCCTGGTTAATACTACAGGGGCAGCCGCCTTTAGGGGATTCCTGAGGCTAAAATAATTAAACTGCTGCTGGGCACTACAATGATTCAGGCCGAGATGTGATGACGTGAGGCCCCTTATATGTATGTACTGTATGTTGAACTTCTTTCACACTCTAGATAGCCAACAGTGCTAATCGGTGGTGCGGAATGCTGGGGCGTTTTAAGTTCCCATTCAATAATGTAAACTCGTAACGCTGCTCCACCGCCACGCAGCATTCGCTCGCTCGCTCTCGAAGAGAGAGAGACAGAGATAGGGGACGACTCGGATGCGCGAGCAACCACAGACGAGCGGAAAGTCATGAAATCCCCACTCACCCGAAACCTCCAAGTTCTGTGGTCCTCTGTGTATTAAGATATTTTCAGCCAATTAATGAGTGTTTACACGTGGGAGGAAACCGGAGCGTCCGTAGAAAACTCACCGACGCATGCGTGCGCGAGAGGGGGCAACACTTTATCCCATACACATTGGAACAGGTTGGGGGATCCACACTTGCTGTACTGCCTTTTTTTTCTCCCCCAGGCGAAACAAGTGAAAGCTGGATCAGAGGCCATGTGCAACGCCGCTGCCGCCTGCCTCAAAACGCAAAACCCACTTAACCCCCCCGTCGTCCATATCCCTGTTCTGTCGCCCCGTCCGTCGTCACCGCAGGCACGGAAGCACCTGAACGACCTCTACGAGGACCTCCGCGATGGCCACAACCTCATCTCCCTGCTGGAGGTTCTGTCCAACGAGACGCTGGTACGCGAGCGACGGGGAATGCTGCGGTGCATGGAGGAGGCCTGTTGCGCATGACCGGCGTTAGCTGCTCAAACGCGATTCACTTTGGCCGGCGCAGCGACGTTCGTTCGGTGGCCGTGACCAGTAGTCGAACTTGGACTCCCCTCCTCCCCTCCCACCCCCGCCCCATCGACTGACTCATTGGTATTCGAAGAATTCCACTTCTCGTCATATTTTCGCGCCAGCGTCGATTTATTTTTGGGTTCATGATTCGGAACGTTTGTCGCGCGTGCACATTTTTCTCATGACTTGTTCAGAAAGTCCTGTGGTAGTATTTATTATTATTATTATTATATCATCATCATTATTATTGTTTAAAACGTAATTCCACACAGCATCCCAGCTTATCAGTGTGCCTTTGCATAGACACCATCGCATTTTTACTTTAATTGCCAATCTCAACTTTCCTTTGTGCTGTTCATAATTCTGTTGTTTCTGTTTTCTGCGAATTTTTTTTACCTTGTTTTACTGCTGTCGTCCTGTTCTCTCTTCCTTTTTCTCTCTCTCGCCCCCAACCCAAAATGTCCCCTCCTTATGTTATGCATTTAATTTAATTTCTGGCATTTTTGCCATCTTTCCTAAAACACATCCCATCTTTTCCGTTCACCCTGTCTGTGATGCGTCTAACCCTCCCGACATTATATTTATTTTAACATTTTCCTCATTTTATCCGAACTCTCCCAAACTGGACCTTTCCCTTCGTTCCCTGCCCACCGGTTTCCCCCCCCCCAAATCCCCCCAAAACTTCACCTATGATCCTGACTGGTCCTGACCTTTGACCCCGACCGCCCCTGGCTTGCTATTGGCCGGGCAGCCCCGTGAACGCGATGTGATGCGCAGCTTGCGGTTGGTGAGTGGCTCAGCCTGTGTCTGCGCCGAGCATGACGGGAATGATGCTGAGAAGGGGGTACGTTGGCCGCGCATTAATGTGATACCATTTAACATCCACAACAGTCAACGCTTTCATTATCATCACCATTAGCATACCATAACATCGATATTACCGTATTCTCTGGATTAAAAAGGCACACCGGCGACATTTATGAGTGTAAATACGACGCAGGCAACTGCACGGGAGCGTGACGAGGGCTGTGAGAATTGCGGTGGTTAGATGTTAACTATCTCGCCTGGTATACAGGAGGTAGTGGGTGCGATCGCGACCCTGACGCTTATATATTTGGAGTTTTCACGTTCTCCCCGTTGTCGCGTGGATTTTTTGTCCGGGTCCTCCAGGTTTTCCCCCGCCACATTGAGTATCAACGTGTGTTCAGAGTATTTGGCTGCTATAAATTTTCGCTTAATGATGAGCCACCTTCGTTGAGTGATCATTTGTGGCCAGGTGGCTTCTGAAAAAAGAGCTACGTAGCTTAGTGGGCCTTACCTGGTAAAATAAACAAAAAGAGTTCATCTTCTTGATTCTTTCGGTAAAGTCACGTAGAAGGGAAGTAATAAAATAATAAAAATAAAACATAATATTATTTTTTTATTACTTCCCTTCTACGTGACTTTACCGACAAAACCAAGAAGATGAATCCCTGCAGTCACGAAAGCTTTAAATCGAAAAATAAAAAATAGTTCAGTTTAATAACACCGTGGCTTTAATAAGAAAGAGAATATAAGAGGCGACGTTTCGAGCAATGACCCTTCTTCACAGCAAATAGAGAAGCGAGAGACGTAAGAGTCGAGACTTGCCACCAAATTAAAATGCACGCCTTCAATTTTGTGTTCCTGCACAATACAAAAGGACATAGTTTATAATGCAGTGCTTATGGGAATAACATTAATACGGAGAATACGGTGATGACAGTAATAACGACAACATTCATATCTATTAAGACCCCGGATTTTTTTTCAGTGTGTGAAAAAAAATTTCACTTGTGTCTGCTGGAAAATCTAATTTTTTTGCACGTCAACTAACAGAAACGTAGTCTGTAACCACTTTTCTTTTGAGTGTGTGAAAATCCATAACATCAGTGGATGAAATATGAGGATGAGCAGCGTTAAATGACCTTACGTTTCACATATTGGCCGAATCTCCCTGAAGCTCTCAAACGTCATGTTCTCAGAAGCTAAGCCGAGTTAGCCTGGTCAGTGCATGAATATCAGGTTTTGCAGACTTGGGCCTTGAGATTGTGAGGAGTTGGCAGAACAGAGATGTATCGGCCATGTCGTCTGGGCGCCACGGTGGCGAGATGTTATCTCCCTCGCCTGGTACACAGGAGGTCGTGGGGTCGATCCTGACCCTGACGCCTGCTGCTGTATATTTGGAGTTTGCGTGTCTCTCTCTCCCCGTGGTCGTGTGGATTTTTTTCTGGGTCCTCAGGTTTTCCCCTCCACGTTTAGAATGAACGTGTATTGCCAGGTCGCTTCTGAGAAATAGCTTAGTAACTCAGTGGGCCTTGCCTGGTAAAATTATAAATAGTTTAGTTTGCGTTCAGTTTCGTAATTGAATTTGAAAGCTTGTTTGGATAGTTATAATAAATCCTGGGGGGCCCTAATAACAACAACAACGATTGCATTACAGTAACAAATCGTGAACACTTTAACTTGCATCCCGAATAGGTAGCGTACAAGTTTGGAGGTGGTCGCGAGTGTGGCTTCATTTCTCATCCCACCCCCCCCACCCCCGAGTAATTTCCGGGTCGCCGCTAGCCTGGAGTGAGCGACGCGTGGACTCCGTCGTAAGCCACAGAAGCGCAAGCACTGGACGCGGCGTTTGCCGGGCGTAGACGTACATTTCCGTGTCGCTGAAATTATTAAGCCCTGCGCCATGAGTGAGCGTTGATTTTGAGCGTGGTAATGAGAGTGAGCGGCAAATCACTCTTCCCCCCACCTCCCCCACCATCACCACCTCCATGGCACTTGGTTTGCGAGCACCTATTACCAGCGAGAATGTGCAAATGGATTAACAGCAACCGATTTTTTTAGAGGGCACGTTTTCCGAACGCGCAGACATTCTATCCACACACACGCGCACGCACGTGTGTTGTGTCTTGTGCATGTCGTTGCTGTGTTTGTCTTTGAGGAAATGTTGTCGGGTGTCGTTTGCTGTTTTCTGCTTGCTGATGCTCCTGAGCATGAGAAACCTTCAGGTTTATTCCTATAAACAATGATATATATTTATCCCGTGAAACGATGGAATGTAAAGATGAGATAAACGTTTTGCTGTGTGCGTGTGTGCAGTGTTGTGTGGGTGCTTCAAGCCTAGGATACCATTTTCAGCACTGTGATTGAATGCTTTGTGATTGCAAAGAAAAAAATACTCGACATTCTCATCAGTAACACTGTTGCGGCCTTAAAAGGAGAAATATATAATAGGCGACGTTTCAGGCAATAACCCTTTTACATATGATGTATTTATTGCAATAATACGAAGTGCAGTTGAAAAAAAATTGGCTTTAATACTTTGTAAAATAAATAAATTGTCAAATGCATTAAGTTCACCAGTGGGGCATTATTGGTCAAATATGTTTTTAAAACGATTCTACCTTTTGCCTTTGTCTCCAGGTATAAAAAATTAAGTTTTATTCTTTGGTCATCTTATTGCACGTCAGGGTTTATTTACAATAAAGTAAAAAAAAATGTACACTTCTTTGTCAATCCACTGCTGGACGAGATTCTCCCCCACTCCATTTACCGCGGTCATGGGCCCTGTTTGACCATACTTCACCACGCCGGTCAGCGTGGCTTGGGAATTGCAGGGGGTGCGGGATGAGGATGGAGACCCCTCCCACCCTAACCGATGCCACTCGCCACTGATGTTAGCTGTGCGGACAGGAATGAAACAATCCGGCTTCGCTGGATTCACAACGCGGCGGCTTCATCCAGCGATGTTTGTTCGGACAAAGCAACCCCGCTGAATTATTGCCACCGGCTCCAACTGGTAGAAGGACCGTTGCCCGAACCGTCGGCCCAACGTGTATTTCTCTCTTACGAGATGCTGTTTACTGAACAGTGTGGCGAGGTTTCCCCCCCCCCCCTATTTGGGCACGCAGATTGGTTGCGATCGCGGTCCTTAACTTTGAGCTTTTTTTGGGAGACTTAAAAAATTAATATATACAAAAATAAATGTTTCGCTAATAAAAAAAAATCCATGTTTCCTCTCCCCCCTCCTGGCAGCCGCGGGAGAAGGGAAGGATGCGATTTCATCGGCTCCAGAACGTGCAGATTGCACTAGACTACCTGAAGCATCGCAAGGTGAGGAGAGTGAGGATGGTGAGGGGTTTAGGAGGGCGATGAGAGAGGAGGGGGGGGGGTGTAAGAAACGACGGCGCTGAGAGGTGGTTGACAGAGGGGGGTGATTTGGAGAGAGGGTGAGAGGTCAGCGATTCTTCACGTCGGATTATGACTTTTCGTGTCCGTAAACATCATCCCAATTGCTCAGTCCTTCCTCATGCACAGCGTAAGCAGCCTATTTGTCGAAGGCTAATTTCCGCTCTACTGCAGCATACGCAGACCAGGTTCTGCTCACTCTCAATCAGTATAATTAAATATGCCATTCAGGGGCCATCGGCCTCTGTTTTCTAGCGGCATTTGTTGAAGCCGACAAGCTCTGGACGGGTTTCGACTTCACGAGTTCCATTGTCAAGGTTGTGGCCCGATAAACGAATGCCGTTGGGTTGCTGTAAAGCGAGCGCTCTGCGTTAAATACTGCACGCTTGAGAAACTGAAGTTAACCAAAGGCGTGCTTAAGACGGGAGTGGTTTTTGTTCATTGCAATGCGAACGTGTTAGCGCTGCCCATCTGACCTGACTGGGTTGATGTCACCTCGGTCTCGCAGATCAAGTTGGTGAACATCCGAAATGACGACATCACCGATGGCAACCCCAAGCTGACCCTGGGGCTCATATGGACCATCATCCTGCACTTCCAGGTGATGATGATAGTGGTGGTGATGGTGATAGTAACAATGATGATCGTGGTCATCATGACGATGATAGTGAAGGTGACGTTTATGATGATGATGATTTTGGTGCTGATCGTTACGGTGATGATGATGGTGGTGGCGATGACGAAGATGATGACGATAAGTGATGGTTAGTGATGATGAGCGACGGTGCACACGAACCGAATTCATCGACCCATCTCCCGAGTGGCCGTCTTCCCGGGACGCGTTCCATCACTTCTCTGGCCCTCCGTCAATTATTCCTGACCGTAGCCATCACCCCGTCGAGCGACGCGTCCGGCCTCCCCCAAGTTCACTCGCTCTCCTTAATGGTTTGACAAATTTTCATTGCCCTGCCCATGCTCTCTCTCATTCACATGGTTCTCCTGCCCCCTCATTGCAATTCCCCGCATGGCATCTCACTTCCGAGGCAGAATTTTAGTGGCGGATACGGCCGCGTTTGCCAAGGTGTTTCGTAACTCTGATCCTTTCCCATGTTATCGATAGTTCAATTTTAATGTGTCATTTTTATTGAGGGACCTTGTGTTGTCCTGCTGTGGTCTGGGACTTTTGTTATTTTGCAGCCTTGCGCAAGCTTGCATTTAATGTTCAAAAAACCGGCATGAATTGATATATTTTTACAATTTGAACTTGTGTGCTTTATTTTTAGTGATTTGCTTACCTTTCCTATACTCTGCACTCCTATCGGGTTCTGTCTTGTTTGTTGTTGTAACTTGCTGACCCCGTGACCCTGCTGGACACCTGTGTAAACGAGCTTCGGAGCTCATCGGATTCCTTCTCCAAGGATTAATAACAACGATTCTCGCTCCGATTCTCCATGGTTGCCGCTCACCGTGGGTTAAAAACGATTCGGATGCCGGTGAAGATGATGACGACGTTGATGATGATGATGCCGGTTTTGATGATGACGACGACGTTGATGATGATGATGACGACAACGTTGATGATGATGACGTTGATGCCAGTTATGATGATGGCGACGACGTTGACAACAACATGACGTTGATGACGACGACGTTGATGACGACAACAATGACGTTGATGACGATGACGACGCTGACGATGACGACGTTGATGATGTCGACGACGTTGATGACGACGACGACGTTGATGACGACGACGACGTTGATGACAATGACGACGTTGATGACAATGACGACGTTGATGACGATGACGACGTTGACGATGACTGACGATGACGACGTTGATGACGACGACGACGTTGATGACGACGACGACGACGGCGACGTTGATGATGACGACAACAATGACGTTGATGACGATGACGACGTTGATGACGATGACGACGTTGATGATGTCGACGACGTTGATGACGACGACGACGTTGATGACGACGACGACGACGGCGACGTTGATGATGACGACAACAATGACGTTGATGACGATGACGACGTTGATGACGATGACGACGTTGATGATGTCGACGACGTTGATGACGACGACGACGTTGATGACGACGACGACGTTGACGATGACTGACGATGACGACGTTGATGACGACGACGACGACGTTGATGACAATGACGACGTTGATGACGATGACGACGTTGATGACGATGACGACGTTGACGATGACTGACGACGACGACGTTGATGACGACGACGACGACGTTGATGACGATGACGACGTTGATGACGATGACGACGTTGACGATGACTGACGATGACGACGTTGATGACGACGACGACGTTGATGACGACGACGACGACGGCGACGTTGATGATGACGACGACGTTGATGACAACGATGTTGACGATGATGACGTTGATGACGACGACGTTAATGACGGGTGCTGGCGCCGTCTCCGTCGCATCCAGATCTCGGACATCCAGGTGACGGGCCAGTCCGAGGACATGACGGCCAAGGAGAAGCTGCTGCTCTGGTCGAAGCGCATGGTGGACGGCTACCCCGGGGTCAAGTGCGACAACTTCACCACGTCCTGGCGCGACGGCAAACTCTTCACCGCCATCATCCACAAGCACAAGTGCGGCTCGCACTGACCCCCCCCCACCACCACTCAGGGTGGGGGAGGGGTGGGCCTAGGGGTGGGCCTAGGGGCTGGGGGTAGGTGGGACGGATGGAGTTCCAAGTTCATGTTTCAAGTTGTTGTTGTTTAACCAGGTGGAGACCAGGATGAATTTCATTTGCAAGAGTGACCTGGGGCATCGGTTAGGGTTGCGGGGGGGGGGCGATGTTTGCCTTTGCTGCTGTGTGGTCTAGCCTAGGGGCGCCCCCGGTGGCAGCTGTCCCAGTGCAGCTGGATTCTAACCGCGAAGCTCTGCGACAAGTGGGGGACACGCTGTCGCCGGGCCGTGTCACTGCCGAGGGGAGGGAGGGAAGGGGGGTTACTGGCACAGTACCGGACGGTGGCTCCCCATGAATACCCGCTGCTGTGCGTCAACATCGGCGCTGGGGAGACAAAGGCGGCCGGGCCGCGGTGCTGGCCACCCCGCCCCCTCGCGTGCCGCGTGTGTCGGCTTCCGTGGGTGCTCGCTTAACAGCACTTGCCCCCCCCCAACAGCCTGCGCAGGCTACACGGGTGACCTTTGCCTCTGTGTCTCGACTGCCACAGGCCAGAGCTGGTGGATCTCAAGCAGGTGCACGGCCGCTCCAACCAGGAGAACCTCGAGTTCGCCTTCTCCACCGCCGAGCGGGAGCTGGGGGTCACCAGGCTCCTCGACCCTGAAGGTGTGACACCGTCACGCCGCGCGCGTCGCCAGCAGCGCGTCGCTCGCGCGTCCATCCCGTGAGCTCGCGTCGGGGACCCCGTAGAGGCGGCCCGTGACACTCGCGAGCGGCAGGTGCTCCTGTTTTCACCGCCCTCGGCCGTGCGTGTTTGGCTATCGGTTGAAAAGACAAACAAACGCAGTCCCGCTAACGGCGGCACTGGGAAGGAGGGGTCGTGTTCACGGCACCGCGGCGCGAGAGCTCGGCGCGTCGCGGTCAAACGGGACGCGCGCCTGCCTCTCCTGGACACCAGCAGTACCTTTTTACCTTTGATAACAAAAATGAATCAGGTTATAAACAATGTATCCTCAGTTTTTTCGGTAAAGTTACGTAGGTAAAAAAATGAAATTAAAATTAATTAATTAAAATAATAAAAATCACGACGTTTCGGAGGTCAACACAAGTCTCCGTCATCAGGTGGGACCGTCACAGCCAGATTTGCTGTATCAAGTGAGGCCTCACAAATCTAGCTGTGACGGTCCCACCTGATGACGGAGACTTGTGTTGCCTCCGAAACGTCGTGATTTTAATTATTTTATTTTATTAATTTTAATTTCAATTTTTTACCGACGTGACTTTACCGAAAAAACTAAGAGTATGAATCCTTGCAGTCACGAAAGCTTCAAATCTAGAATTATGAACAATGTCTTCGTGACACACACACATATACTTTGCATGTGCGTCTGAAACTCCAAACCTGCGATTGACCGCTAAATCCGATCGCCGCGTCTCTCCTGCCCCGCGTTCCGCCCGCTGGAACTTACGCCGCCATCCCTTCCTCCCCCCCCCCCCCCCCCCCAGACGTGGACGTGGCATCGCCCGACGAGAAGTCGATCATCACCTACGTGTCCTCGCTCTACGACGCCATCCCCAAGGCTCCCGACGGCGCCAACGCTAACGTGAGCGCCGCACGCAGAGTGCACGTGCGTGCCCGGTCGGCTAGCGAAGCGAGGGAGCCGACGGGCGGACGGACAGACGGAAGTTCGCACGAACTAATTAACGAATGAATGACCCATCGCTGGAACGAACGAACGAGCAATGAACAACCAAGCAAATTATGCAGTAGCTCCACCTGTCCGGTTGTGACGGGGGACGGGGCGCTCAAGATAGCCGTCGCGACGATGGCCCAGTTTGCACGTACGTGTGGCGTAGAGTCGTGTTGCTATTGGGGATCTCCCCCTGTTGGTAAGCGGCCGCGTCAACCGAAGGGTTACTGCCCAAAGCTTGCGGAGCAAAGAGGAATGTTTGCAATTACACATCTTACCCGGTTCAGCTTTCCATACCGCTGTTTAAACAGCTCCCGCGGACAAACACATTCACACAGTTTTGGAAACCGTAGTGGAATATCGCACGCACGCACGCACGCGATTAATTGTTTGTTTCCTTCCCCGTGCATCTCGTGACGGCGTGGGCAGGAGGTGGAGACGCAGTGGCGCGAGTACCAGGAGCTCGTCGTGCTGTTGCTGCAGTGGCTGCGCCACCACGTGACCGTCATGTACACGCGCAACTTCCCCAACAACCCTGCCGAGCTCAAGGTGGGGTGGGGGTGGGGGCGGGAGGCGGAGTTGGGGGCAGGGGGATGGGCAGGTGGGGGGCGGGGGGGCGTCCCATTTGGTCCTCGGAAGGAGAAAAAAAACGGATGGCTAATTTTGCTGATTCAAACGAGCATTATTTACGCCCATGCGTCAAATCGTCGCTTAACGCGGCGCTTGTTTAAGGAACGCGTCTGTGTTTCTACTTAATTTGAACTTTATTTATAGATTTCGTGCCTGCAGGAATTACCCTTCGGTTCTTTCGGTAAAGTCACGTAGACAGAAAATAACTACTTCGCCACGTCGGCGCTCCCCAACTTCATCGGGGATTGGTGAAGTACGATCAGATGACTCCCCAAACACAGGCACGGGCGTGAGGAGGGCCTCGCCCAGCGGTGCGTTCACACACAGAGGGACGCCGTGCACACGCGCAACCTTGACAGGCAGTACAGCAAGTAGGTCTACCCTCGGGTCTGTCCACTGGCACGTGAGCCTTTGTCGAGGCCGTGCAGGCGTGGCTTTGTATGCGCGTTGGACTTCTTTCGCACCGTACGTAGCCGAGCCGTGCCAACGCGCGTAACCCCGACGCCAAACTCTCGCTCTCTCCGCCCACGCCCCTTCTCTCTTCCCCAGGCCTTGTACAACCAGTACCTGCAGTTCAAGGAGATGGAGCTGCCCCCGAAAGAGAACGACAAGATGCGAATCAAAACACTCTACAAGTCTCTGGAGGTAGGTGCACAGAGGCCCCGCGAACGCGTTCTGTTACCGGTTTCAATACACGCTCGGCGATAACGGGCATAGCTGGTATTTGTTCGTATAAAATACTTCCAGTCTGTGAATCGGTACGACTGGCGATAAGCGTGCGATGTTGGAAGGTGTATTGTTTTTATATTTGGGAGCGGTGGTGTAGCGGTTAGTGTGGTGCGCTCCAAACCTGGCGACCCGAGTTCGTTTCCCGCTTCACCCCCATAACCGGTGACGATTATATGAACCTGTTCTGAGCCTTTCCTAATTCGACTCAGCCTCAAATGAGTACCTGGTGCTGTGTGGAAACATCACCACTGGGGAGACAAAAGTGGCTGGGCGTGGTCCTGGCCACCCACGTCCTCGTGTGCCGTGCCGGCCTTCATAGGTGCTCGCTAACAACACTTGCCCCAACAGTCTCTTGAAGACTATACGGGGGATCTTTGTCTTATTTATACAACGCCACCACAGTGGCGAGATGTTAACTACCTCGCCTGGTATACAGGAGGTCGTGGGTTCGATTCCGACCCTGAGTTTGCATGTTTCTCCCCGTGGTCGCGTGGATTTATCTCCAGGCCCCCCGCTGTTCCCCTCCACGTGTAGAATCAACGTTCGTTTAAATTATTTGGCTGCTATAAATTTCCACATGATGAGAGCCACTTTGTTGAGCTATCATTTGTGGCCAAGTCACTTCTGAAGATGGAGCTACATAGCTCAGTTGGGGCCTTAACTGGTAAAATAAAACATAGTTTAGTTTTAGTTGCCATGTGTTAACGGCCGTGTGTGTGTGCGTGTGTTTGTGTGCGGCCCCTTCACCAAGGCGTGGATTCTTGCCGGGCGCATCAAGCTGCCCCAGGGCCAGCACCCGAACGACGTGGAGAAGGAGTGGGGCCGGCTCATCGTTGCGATGCTCGAGAGGGAGAAGGAGCTGCGGCCTGAGATCGAGAGGTCGGTGCACACGCACACACGCGCACACACACGCGCGCGCACACGCAAAGACGAAAGATTCCCCCCCCACCCCTGTCGCCGTAGCCTTAACACGCTGCTGGGGCAAGTGCCGTTAGCGAGCACCTACGAAGGCCGGAACGGCCAACAACACGCACGACCGCCTTTGTCTCGCCAGTGCCAATGTTTCAACGCCGCACCACGTGCTCTCTTTTTTTTTTAGGCCGAGTCGACACCTAGGGGGGAGGCCTGGGAACAGTCCATATATTCGCCGCTGTTGTTGGTCGTGTTTGAGAATTGAACTCGGCCCGCTGGGTTCGCAGCGCAGCGCCTTAACCGCTTGCACTGGCGATCCACACGATGTATACACACAAGACGCACATGCTGGCACACTTGCACGCGCACACTCACACACATTCCTCTCTGGGGGGGGGGGGGAGCCAACGTTCGTTTGTACCGGCTGGAAACGTGTTTCCGCGTGGCGACGGCTACGACGACGGTGGTGATGTTGTTGTTGCCATGGCGACAGGCTGGAGATGCTGCAACGGGTGGCTCTGCAGATCCAGCAGGAGTCGGGCGTGTGCGAGGAGAAACTGATGCGTGCCGAGCGACTGCTGCACATGGTGAGTGTGGCTTTCTGGCGTCGCAGCTGCTGAGCAAAATGTGTGCGCGTGCTGAACTTCTTTCGCACGGTACGTAGCCGGCCGCGCTAAGCGGAGGTGCGGGGGAAGGACAACAAACTAAACACAAAGAGCAGTTCAAAATAGTTTTCAATCGAGCTTTAAAAGTGCATTGCTTCAGCGGCTTCCTAATATCGGAAGGAAGAGCGTTCCAGACGGCCACAGAAGCGCACCTCAAAGCGCACGGTGCAGTGACCGCCTTCGTCACAGTGGCCGCCTGCTTTTGGCGTGAGCCATTGAACGAAGATGAACTTGGCACAGGCGGCCCAGGCGAGTTCACAATGGCTGTGGCGAAGCACTGAGCGGCTTCCGCTGGGCACTGGGCACAAGTTTGAGGCTGGGCTTTGGCTGCCGTGGTTAAACGGGTTCTGCAGTGGGGGTGGCTCTTGACGAAATGGTCGTGGTGACGATGTTAGTGGTGGCGATGGCGACGATGTTAGCGGTGGTGTCGTTGTTAGCGGTGGCGATGGTGACGGTGTTAGCGGTGGTGACGATGTTAGCGGTGGTGATGATGTTAGTGGTGGTGACGATGTTAGCGGTGGTGACGATGTTAGCGGTGGTGACGGTGTTACCGGTGGCGATGGTGACGATGTTAGCGATAGTGACGATGTTAGCGGTGATGACGACCATGTTAGCGGTGGCGATTGGTGACGATGTTAGCGGTGGTGACGATGTTAGCGGTGGCGATGGTGACAATGTTAGCGGTGGTGACGATGTTAGCGGTGGTGTCGTTGTTAGCGGTGGCGATGGTGACGGTGTTGGCGATGGTGACGGTGTTAGCGATAGTGACGATGTTAGTGGTGATGACGACCATGTTAGCGGTGGCGATGGTGACGATGTTAGCGGTGGCGATGGTGACGATGTTAGCGGTGATGACGATGTTAGTGGTGGCGGTGGTGACGATGTTAGCGGTGGTGACGATGTTAGCGGTGGTGACGATGTTAGCGGTGGCGATGGTGACGATGTTAGCGGTGGTGACGATGTTAACGATGTTAGCAGTGGCGATGGTGACGATGTTAGCAGTGGTGACGATGTTAGCGGTGGTGACTGCGTGGTGCCCCGCAGGAGCTGCGTGCGGGCGGCTCGGCGGGCCCAGGCGCCACGGAGCTCGAGGTGACGCTGGGCGAGCTGGACGCGCTCATCCGCAGCATGTTCGCCAACGTGCAGACGCTCAAGGACGGCCGCTACTTCCAGGCGGAGAACATGTACCGGCGGTGAGTGGCGTGTGTGTGCGTGTGCGCATCCATGCATGTGTGGTGTTCTTCACGGAGGCACACACTTGACTTGGAGGCAACATGTTTATTTCAACACCCCAACCGGGTAACTACATAAACGTACGGAATAACAACAGAGGTGATACCTACTTTGAGTATTAACTAAGCCACAACGGGGCAACTACCTAACCGGGTCAGTGAGTAACATTCTGACTGACCCACGATGCCGAGCGAAGACCGAAGATCGGAGAGACGTAGCGCCGAGGGTTGATTCCAGAGAACAGCCCTGATCGGGGCTCGGGACTCGGCCACGCCCCCTTCCAGATCCTTCCCGAAGACTCTGGCCCCTACGTCACGTGTCCCTCTCTCCCCCTTTTGCGCCCCCCTTGCCACCTCGTCCGGTCACGTGCCCTCTCGGGGTCACCCAGACTGTCATGTCCTCACTCGACCTCTCTCTCACTGTCACCAGAACTATGCCCCCTAGGAGCTGCTTCCATGGCATACCCACTCTGGTGCCCGAGAGAGGCCCAAGACCCACAGCTCCGCTCTTGTGACGCTAGCTGGCTTTAACCGCCATAGTGACCCCATTTATGTCACGACATTTGTGTGTGGGGAGCGGCAGTGTAGCGGTTAGCACGCTGCACGACGAACCCGGATGCCCCCGAGTTCGATTCCCGCTCACAACACCGGTGACCGATTATCTGAACTGTTCCTGAGCCCCCATTCGGTCGGCTCGGCCTCAAACTAGCACCTGGTGCGGTGTGTATAAACATCGCCACTGGGGAGACAAAGGCGGTCAGGCGTGGTGCTCGACCTTGACCCCGACGGTCGCTTGCAGGGTGTTCCAGCTGCACGAGCGAGTGGTGGCGCTGCGCTCCGAGCACCGCACAGCGTTCTCCCCGAGCCGCGTGGCCGGCTCGGCCGTCGAGACGCAGACGTCGCGCGCGACCCTCGAGACGCAGACGACGCAGACCGACCGGGGGCAGGGCAAGCTGCAGCAGCAGCAGCAGCAGCAGCTGCAGGTGAAGCTGAAGCAGCCGCAGCCTCAGCAGCGGCGTTCGCCTGGAGGGTCGACGGCCGAGGAAGAGGCGACGGTGTCACTCCGAGACCTCCTGCAGTGGGTGGAGGCACAGCAGGTGAGGCTCTGGCTGGTGGTGGATGTCGTCATCGCACCGTGGGTCGTCATCGCACCATAGGTCGTCATCGCACCATGGGTCGTCATCGCACCGTGGGTGGTCATTGCACCGTGGGTCGTCATCGCACCGTGGGTTGTCATCATCATCGTTGGCCCCGTTTTCACAAACAAAAATAAAAATTGGTGCGTGCGATTTGGGGGCGGTGGTGTGTGGCGGAGAGCGGTGAATCCATTGGCTCGGCGGGGACACCGCCGCTATGTTACAATAACCGGCGATGGTACGGTGAGTTCGTGGCTGCTGTTGGCGAGTAGTCAATGTCTGGCGAGGGTTGGCTGTGATGTGAGCGTCACTGGGCCTAGCGCATAGGATGGGCTGCCCTCTAGTTTTTAAAAATAAATATTTTGAAAAATATTTAATTTAATTTCTAAAATTGGTAAACCTGTGAGGGAGCGATGTCACCAATAACTGCACCCAAAAAATCCATCACGTGAAATTTTGTTCCGCGTTTTCGCTAAAATCGGAATCTAAAGTACATGCGGACGGGTACCCGCTCTCCGGGATGTGACGGCCGACTCTTATAATCCGGATAAAAATGTAAGGGGAAGCGACGAAACAAATATTATCCACGATGGAAGTTGTCCCAACCGTGCGTCGCTGCGGCAGCTGAGGAATCTGCCACCTCTGCAGGTGGCGCTGGATGCGGCGGAGTGGGGGACGGACCTCCCAGCCGTGGAGGCCAACTTGGAGGCCCACCGAGGCACGCACCGTGACATCGAAGCCTTCCGCGCTCGCCTCGAGCAGGCCAAGGCTGCCGAGGTGAGTCGTGCGATTCCGTCGCGGAGCAGAGGGGCGCGGGGGGGGGGGGGGGTCCGATCGTGGTCGAGAACGGCAGCAGTAGCAGCGGGATCATCATTCATAATCAACGTTTTTGGGTTTAGATCACGTTATTTATAAATGTGTCGTAACCCTCCACCACCCGACATGGCCAATCAGTAAAAAAAGTGTCACGTTGACAAAAGACAAATAGTTCACTGCTTTAGCCCACCGGTGTGTTGAAGCGTGAAACCACAACATTTACAATTTTCATCACCACCAGCAGTAGAATCATGTATCTATGTTGAACTTCTTTCGCACCGTACGTAGCCGACGGTGCAAATCGGAGGTGTCGCGGGGGGAAGGAGAACAAACCAAAACACAAAAATGTAGTTCTAAAGCAATGACTTTTCAATTTTGACTTCTAACTTTCGTGACTGCAGGAATTCATATTGTTTGGTTCTTTTGGTGAAGGTCACATAGATAGAAAAAATTAAATAAAAATATAAAAAACACGACGTTTAGATCACAACACAAGCAATCGTCTTCAGTTTAGTGTGCTACCTGCATCATCAGAAGCAGCGGCAGCAGAATTACCACCACCATCATCAGTAACATCATCTTCAGCAGCAGTTGTGGTATCATCATCAGTAGGATCATCATCAGCAGAAGTACCATAATCCTTGACAACATAAGCATGTGATAATTACTGTCATCCCCCTTATCCGGACCATACGACAGTCAATCCTGCACATTGTGTTTGTCCGAATAATTATCATTATCGTCAAGGAACGTCATGATCGTCGTCACGAGCAGCAAGAAGAGGCTCATCATCAGCTGCAGAAATATCCTCATCAGCAGCGCAGCATCATCACTTTGTATGCCAAGCACTTGAGGCACGTCGATCCCATCTTCGTCACCTTCCTATGGGCAACGCGTTGCCACGCATCCTGTGACCCTGACTGGGGCGCCCGTGTCCCTTCCACAGCCCAAGGTCAGCTCGGCGAACAGGGGCACCTACAGCGAGTACCTGGGGCGCCTGGAGCTGCAGTACACGCGCCTGCTGGTGAGCGACGGCTCCTCGCCCCCCCCCCCCCTTCCGATTCCCAAGCCCGTCCACCAGACGGATCAAGAACAAACAGTAGCAATTCTAGATTTGAAGTTTTCGTGACTGCAAGTATTCATATTCTTAGGTTTTCGGTAAAGTCACGTAGGTAAAAAATTAAAATTAATTAAAGTAAAGTAAAATAAAAATCACGACGTTTCGGAGGCAACACAAGCTTCCGTCTTCAGGTGGAACCGTCACAGCACGATTGCTGTATCAAGTAAAAAAAAAAGCAATTCCAACTTGGAAACCTGCACCGCCGCCACACGGTAATCCGCTGCTCGCTCCCGTCGAGAGAGGGGACGTCTCGGCGACGTTGGGAGTGGACGCTGACGAGCGGCGAGGCAGCGACACGATGAGCCGCCCGTTGGTGTCAGGGAGGGAGGCGCTGTAACTCCCGTGAAGATCGTACGACAGTCACATTGCGTGCCCAGTAAATATGCAACGTTGGGCCCCAAACATTGTAATTGGTGTTGGCCAAAACATCCCAATGTAATGGGACCCTCCTGATAAAAAATTGAGTCTTCGGACTCTGTGCGGCTTTCCTGGGTCAAGGAGGAAAATCGTTTGGGCTGGCACAAGCGGGGCGGCAAACCCACGCCTCGTTATTTACGAAGCGCCACCACCGTCTCGTATTCACATTGCACTGCGGCTCTTGAAATAGTGAGCTTTTTACCGAATTCGAAAAAAATAGGTCTTGTAATTTTGCCGACAATTTACCATTTCCCCCGCACCCGCCCCCCCCGCCCGCAGAACTCGTCACGTGGGCGCCTGCGCCACCTGGAGAGCCTGGAGCGCTTCGTGTCGCGCGCCACGCACGAGCTCATGTGGCTGAACGCTCGCGAGGAAGAGGAGGTGGCGCACGACTGGAGCAACCGCAACCCGGACGTGGCCAGCAAGCGCGAGTACCACGAGGTGACGCCCCGTGCGTGCGTGCGTGCATGTGTGCGTGTGTGCGTGTGTGCGTGCATGCGTGCGTGCATGTGTGCGTCCGTGCATGCGTGTGTGTGTCCGTGCGTGCGTGTCTCCGTAGGTGCTGCTCGCAATACGGCACTTGCCCCAAAAGTCTGCGAAGGCTATACGGGGAGGTCTTTATCCTTGTGTGTGCGTGTGTACAAGTGAAGAGCTGTCGTGCAGTGGGTTGGTGGGCTCCGCTACGAACTCGGGTTACCCGAGTTCGATTCCCGCTCACGGCCAGCACCAGTGACGCTCCTGGGCCTCCCTCTAGGTCGACTCGGCCTCAAATGAGTACCTGGTGCGGTGTGTAAAAACATCGCCACTGGGGAGACAAAGGCGGTCGGGAGTGGTGCTGCTCATCCACACATGTGCCGTGCTGGCCTTCATAGGTGCTCGCTAACAGCACTTGCCACAACAACCTAGAAAGGCTGTACAAAGTGGGGGGGGGGGGGTCGGGGGTGGTGGTCTTTGTCCGTCATCTGTTAGCAAGGTTTATCCAGCGACGAATTTACAACGGGCCGTGAGTCGCTTCCAATTAGCTATCAAAAAGCCGATCCATACAAGTAACAATAAGATATGAGATCGCTATGTTGTTCAAAGTGCGACGCTTCGACGCTCGTCCGCGCGCAGGAGCTGATGAAGGAGCTCGAGAAGAAGGAGGTGGAGCTGAACACTCTGCGCGACGGCGGCGAGCAGCTGCTCGTGCAGAACCACCCGGCTCGGGAGACCATCGAGGTACACCGCCGCGGGGACAACGGTCCGGCCGCCACCCCCCCACAACACCCTTCACCCCCGCACCACCCCGCTACCCTAACCCCCACCCAGCACACGGAATCTTTATTTTAATGAAAAGCGCCTCGTCCGCCGAGCTCCTGCAGCCGACTCGACTTGAGGATTCATTCCAATTCACGATTTCCGTCGCCGCCGTGACCGCCGCTTGCTTTTACAAGTGGCGCAAGCAGGCAGGAACCACCGCTGCACTCCACAGCCTCCCTCCCTCCCCGCCCGTCGTCGTCGTTCCTCCGTGCGTCTCCACCGCCAACGGAGGTTGGTTGTCGGGGAGGGCTCTTGGCTGACCGGGTCCCCCTTGTGCGGGTTTCGTGTTCCGCAGGCTTACTTGGCTGCCATCCAGTCCCAGTGGCATTGGATTCTGCAAATCTGCAGCTGCGTGGAGACCCATCTCAAGGAAAACACGACCTTCTTCCAGGTGCGCGCACGTGTGTGTGTGCGCGTGGTTTCGCACGTACGCAGTACGCGTGCGCCGTTGTGGAGTTCGCGAGATAGCGGGGAGCGCGTGGCGCGGCGGTTGACGCGCACGAAACCGCGAACCCGGCGTCCTGAAATCAACTTCCGTCGACAGCTAACGTCGGTGGCAAGGCATGGTGCGCGTCATACCGCCTTCTTGCGCGCTGCCAGCACTTGACCCAACAGAGCTGTCTTGCCATGTTCGTCGGTGCGGATACGGGAACCGTGACAAAAGCGCTTCCATTTATCTTTCGCCGCCAATGTTGGTCGTAGTGAACACCTACGAAGGCCAACGCTGCAGGGGAGAGATTGGTGTGGCTATGACCACGCCCAAGTGGTGATGTTTGCACACAGTACCAGGTTCGCCGTTGAGGCCGATTCGACCTAGGGGAGGCCCAGGGTCGGTTCAGATCTTCATCACTCCTGTTGGTTACGAGACCAGGTCACCGAGTTCGTAGCGCGGTGCGCTAACCATTGCACCACTATGCTGCCCCACCCCCGTCATAGGAATGTGGAATTTCCACCGCTGGATTCGGGCTGCAGAAAGATGAGCGGCAGTCCCGTGCTCATTTGAGCGGGAAACCACTTTGACCTTTGAACTTTGACTCACTCAGCTGTTTTATTGGCAGTGCAGGCGAGGAGGAGAGGGCTGATTTAGTGCAGCAGGAATTTATTATGGGCTGTAACGTATACGATGGGGTTCTCTGTCAAACAGCGCTGGCATTCATCATGCAGCGTTATTATTGCCTCTTAGGGAGCTAATGTGATGGATACAAATCATGTGTTCACTGCACAGGATGTGCGTGTATGGGGAGCGGTGGTGTAGCGATTCGCGCACTGTGCTACGAGCATGGTGACCTGAGTTCAATTCCCGCTCAAGGCTAACACTCGGTGATGATTATCTGAACTGGTCCTGGGCCTCCCCAAGGTCGATTCGACCTCAAATGAGTACCAGATGCGATGTGTAAATGTCGTCACTGGGGAGACAAAGGCGGCCGGGCACGTTGCTGGCCACCCACCCCCTCCTCTGCCGTGCCGGCCTTCATAGGTGCTGCTTGCTAACAGCACTTTCCCCAACAGTCTGTTAAGGCTACACGGAGGAACTTTGTCTTCACACCCTTCAGGCTCTGTAAATGTGCAAATTTCCCATGTTCGTACAGAGCATTGAGATGCGGCCGTGTTTAAATGTTTTTATTTATTGAAATTGTCTGTGATGGATGTACGTGTGTACATTTCAGAAAACAAGTGTGTGTTGTGGTGTGTGTGCGTGTTGTTGTTTTTGGTATCTTGTGTACATTGTGGTTTGTCATGTGTTTCTATTTCTACGTGTGTTACGCTTTAAATGTGTCACGGTTTCTAAGCGTGCTAGGTAAAGCTGTGCATCGTCGTTCGCGTTTGCCGCAGTTTTTCGCGGAGGCTCGGGAGGGCGAGCAGCACCTGAACTCGCTGCTCGAGTCGATCCAGCGCAAGTACACGTGCGACAAGAGCAGCAGCCTCTCTCGCCTCGAGGACCTGGTGCAGTGCTCCATGGTGAGTGCCGCGTGATGTGCGCGTGACCGCGCGTGTGCGCGTGTGCGCGTGCGTCAGAGGTCGCAACCGGGTACCCGATACCCGTACCCTACCCGATACCCGGCTACCCGTACTCGGCCAGGTACGGGTACCCGTTTGCGACCCTGGTGCGGCCGGGTACGTGTACGGGTAGGCCATGAGTCACTGGTGAGTAACCGTTTGTCACTCATTTCGGGTAGGGTACGGGTAGGGAACGGGTACCCGGCTGGGTACGGGTACCCATTTGCGACCCTGGTGCGGCCGGGTACGGGTACGGGTAAGGAATCAAAACCCGTTTGCGACCTCTGGCGTGCGTCTCTGTGGGGCGGGGAGCGGAAGTGTAGCGGTCAGCGCGCGATGAACCTGGGGATTCCAAGTTTGCTTCCCGCTCACGCACACACCAACACCAGCAACGATAATTATATCTGAGCCTCCCCTAGGCCGACTGGTGGAGGCTCAGATAATGAAATTAGCACCTGGTGCGGTGTGTAAACATCGCCACTAGGGAGGCAAAGGCGGCCGGGCGTGGCGCTGGCCACCCACCCATCCCCCCTCTTGTGTGCCGTGCCGGCCTTCATAGGTGCTCGCTAACAGCAGTTACCCCAACAGTCTGTTAAAGGCTATACGTGTGCGTCTCTGTGGGCTGGAGAGCGGTAGTGTAGCTGTTGGCGCGCTGCACCACGGACCCGGCGACCCGGGTTTGAATCCCGCTTACGGACACCAACACCGGTGACGATTATCTGAACCGGTGCTAGGCCTCCCCTAGGTCGAATCAGCCTCAAACGAGTGCCTGGTGCGGTGTGTAAACATCGCCACTGGGGAGGTGAAGGTGGCCGTGCCGACCTTCATAGATGCTCGTTTTAACAGCACTTGTCCCAACAGTCTGTGAAGGCTATACGGGGGAACTTTGTCTTTGTCGTCTCGATGTGTCAGGACGAGAAGGAACAGCTGGTGGAGTTCAAGCGCACCGTGGCCGGGCTGGTCGGGCGAGCCAAAACCATTGTGCAGCTGAAGCCTCGCAACCCCGAGAATCGCGTTTCCGGTTCGATCCCCATCCGAGCTGTTTGCGACTACAAGCAGATGGAGGTGAGGTCTAGCTGGAGCCTGCATGTGTGTACCCGGTGCGATGTGTAAACATTTCCTCTAGGGAGACAAAGGCAGCCGGGCATGGTACCGACCACCCACCCCCTCCCCCCTCGTGCAGCCGTGCTGTCCTTCATAGGTGCTCGCTAAGCAGCACTTGCCCCGGCAGACTGTTGAGGCTATACGGGCGGCTCTCTTTGTTTTTTCTGCGTCTCTACCGCCACGCAGATCACGATTCACAAGGGCGAGGAATGCGCCCTGGAGGACAACTCCCAGCGGAGCAAGTGGCGCGTGATCAACCCGACGGGAAACATCGCCACCGTGCCCTCCGTGTGCTTCCTGGTGCCGCCTCCTAACCCCGACGCCATGGAGACCGCCGCCAGGCGAGTTCAACTAAACACTTTTTTATTTATTTACCAGTCAAGGCCCAAAAGTGGCTTGTCATGTGGAAATTTATAGCAGACAAATACTTAAACGCACGTCGATTGTAAATGTGGAGGGAAGACACCCCGGAGGACCCGGAGAAAAATCCACACGACCATACAGAGAGAGAGAACACGCGAACTCCAAATATATGCGAACCCACGACCTCCTGCATACCAGGCGAGAGAGATAACATATCGCCACCATGACGCCTTAAGTTACAAAGCCAGGGATGTACATTTATATGAGCTCGCATTGAAATAAAATTATAAAACGGTAGAGTCGTGTATCCGACTCACTGGGGGGGGGGGGTCGAGGTAGATGTGGATGTCTGATGAGGTCAGATATGTGAACATCTTATCGAAAACGAGATGTTGCACAAAAACTGCACCGCGTGTGTAAGCGGTTACTTGCGCAGGGCGGGTACGTGGCATTTTGTACCATAGTGACGGACGTAAACTGCGACTGCCTTGACAGTAAATCTCTGTGGCCGGCGTGGTGAAGTATGGTCAAACAACCCCCCCACCCTCATAACCAACATGACAAAGAGAGGAAGGGCTTCATCCAATAAAAAAACATTGCTCAATGAAAGTGGGCTGCCAGGAGCGGTCACGAACTTGTTGTCAGCCTCGGCAGCTTTGGAAGAGCTTCCAAATGCAGCTCAGAATTAAAGGTGGATCTCACTTACGAAAACGCTGCTGCTATTCATGATGATAACAATAACAGTGCTGCTATTTTAGATAACGAGACTTTCACTGAAGGCGATGACAATGCTGCTGCTGGGTAAAATGCTACTGATGATGATCATACAACTGCTCCAGATCACAGATCGTGATGACAATGCTGACACTGATGCTGCTGCCACTGACGCTGACGACGATGACGACATTGTCAGTGCGAGGTGACGATGTTAACGACGGCGCCCGTGACCTCGTGCAGGATTGAGCAGCTCTACCAGAGCGCCATGGCGCTGTGGCACCAGCAGCATGTGAACATGAAGAGCGTCGTGTCCTACCTCTACCTCATCAAGGACATCGAGATCATCCGCTCGTGGAACGTCATCACGGTCAGTGACCCTGCAACCTCCAAACCTCTCACCCGTAGCCTCCAACCTCTCACCCGTAACCCAACAACCCGAGTTACATTCCCAGCTATGGCTAGTTCAAGTTCACGTTCATTTATTAGGTATAGCCCTGTGAGCCATTCGGCTCTTGAATCGGGTGCAACCGCAAAAAACAAAAAACATGAACAAAAAACATCTTAAAGTGAATATGTGACTAAGCGCAAACAGAAAATCCAAGAAAAGACAGCAAAATATTGCAGAAAAAAAATATAGCAGAAAAAATTGCAGAAAAACAGCAGTGGTGTCTGAAATGGGCCAGGGCGGCCTCTGGGTCTACTCAGCCTTAACAAGGAGTAGCTGGTGCAGTGTGCAAACATCATCATATGGCCCTGGTGTATTTCTGGCCACATCCCACACCCGCCTTGTGCGCCGGTGCCAGCCTTAAGAAATGCTCGCTAACTGCACTTGCCCCAACATCTTGTCTCAGCTACATGGGGTATTTTTGTCTTTGTGTGTGCATGCTTGTGTTGGTGTGAGTATTTGCAGGGGAGCGACAGTGTAGTGGTCAGCGCGCTGTGCTATGAACCTGGCGACCCGGGTTCGATTCCCGCTCACGGCCAACACCAGTGACGATTATCTAAACCGGTTCCGGGCCTCCCCTAGGTCGACTCAGCCTCAAATGAGTACCTGATGCGGTGTGTAAACAGTGCCACTAGGGAGACAAAGATGGTCGGGCGTGGAGCTGGCCACCCACCCCCTCGTGTGCCGTTCCGGCCTTCATAGGTGCTCGCTAACAGCACTTGCCCCTACAGTCTGTTAAGGCTACGCGGGGGATCTTTGTTTTATTTTTGTGTGTATTTGCACGTGTATATCTGTGTGTCTCGAGCGTGTCTGGCTCTGGTGCATTCGTACTTGTAAACATCGGCACTGGGTGAGACAAAGGTGGCCGGGATGTCACGTTTGCCGCACCACTCGCCTCGTGCCCGATGATAACAGCCCTTGCCCCAACATTCTGTGTAGGCTACAAGGGTAAGGGGGGGTGGGGGGATGGCTCTTTAATCTTTCGTTAAGTGCGCGTGCTCATGCGCGTTTTGTCTCTCCCGTTCCCCGGTTTGGGCAGCTGAAGTCGCTGCCGCAGCAGGAGTACGAGCGGGTGGTGCGGAGCCTGCAGGTGCGCTTCCAGGACTTCCTGGAGGACTCGCGCGAGTCGCAGCTCATCTCCACGGCGGACCACGCGCGCGTGCAGGCCGACGTCGAGGCCTGCCGCCAGCACTTCGACGCGCTGCTCAGCGCCATGCGGCAGGGTGAGGGCGTCGCGGGTGGAGCGAGACCAGAGGGAGGGGTCGTGGTTGGGGGATGGGTCGTGGTGGGCAGGGGTCGAGGTGGTGGGGAGGGGTCGAGGTGGTGGGGAGGGGTCGAGGTGGGGTGGAGTCGTGGTGGGGAGGGGTCGTGGTGCGGAGGGGTCGTGGTTGGGAGGGGTCGTGGTGGGGAGGGGTCGTGGTGGGGAGGGGTCGTGGGGGGGTGGAGTCGTGGTGGGGAGGGGTCGTGGTGGGGAGGGGTCGTGGGGGGGGGAGGGGTCGTGGTGGGGAGGGGTCGTGGTTGGGGGAGGGGTCGTGGTGGGGAGGGGTCGTGGTGGCGAGGGGTCGTGGTGGGGAGGGGCCGTGGGGGGGGGAGGGGTCGTGGTGGGGAGGGGTCGTGGGGGGGGGAGGGGTCGTGGTGGGGAGGGGTCGTGGTTGGGGGAGGGGTCGTGGTGGGGAGGGGTCGTGGGGGGGGGAGGGGTCGTGGTGCGGAGGGGTCGTGGTGCGGAGGGGTCGTGGTGGGGAGGGGTCGTGGTGGGGAGGGGTCGTGGTGGGGGGAGGGGTCGTGGTGGGGAGGGGTCGTGGTGGGGAGGGGTCGTGGGGGGGTGGAGTCGTGGTGGGGAGGGGTCGTGGTGGGGAGGGGTCGTGGGGGGGGGAGGGGTCGTGGTGGGGAGGGGTCGTGGTGGCGAGGGGTCGTGGTGGGGAGGGGCCGTGGTGGGGAGGGGTCGTGGTGGGGTCGTGGTGGGGAGGGGTCGTGGTGGGGAGGGGTCGTGGTGGGGAGGGGTCGTGGTGGCGAGGGGTCGTGGTGGGGAGGGGTCGTGGTGGGGAGGGGTCGTGGTGGGGAGGGGTCGTGGTGGGGAGGGGTCGTGGTGGGGGGAGGGGTCGTGGTGGGGGAGGGGTCGTGGTGGGGAGGGGTCGTGGTGGGGAGGGGTCGTGGTGGCGAGGGGTCGTGGTGGGGAGGGGTCGTGGTGGGGTCGTGGTGGGGTCGTGGTGGGGTGCGGTCGTGGTGGGAAGGGGTTGTGGTTGGGGGAGGGGTCGTGGTTGGGGCAGGGGTCGTGGTGGGGGGAGGGGTCGAGGTGGGGTGGCGTCGTGGTTGGGGGAGGGGTCGAGGTGGGGTGGGGTCGTGGTGGGGAGGGGATGGCTAGTGGGGAGATGGAAGGACTGGCAAGTGAGGAGGTGGAGGGGAGGATGGGCGTGGGCCGTGGGTTGTGAGTTCTCCGATCTTGAACTCGGGAGAAAGTGAACTCAATGCTGACCTTCTCTGTGTTTGTGTCCGTGTGTGTCTGCGTGTCTGCGTGCATTTATGCGTCCGTGCGTCTGCTTGTCTGCGTGTCTACATGCGTGCATTTGCGTGCGTCTGTGTATCTGCGTGCCTCTGTGTTTGTGTGTGCCGCCTGCGTGACGGCTCTGCCGTGCGTGCGCGCTGCGGATGACCCAGAGGAGGAAGGCGAGAGCCTCTGCGGCTCGCTGCTCTCGCGCCTGCAGAAGCTGCGGCTGCGGCTGGAGGGCTGCGAGGAGCGCGTGATCCGCCAGATCCGGGCTCCGCTCGACCCCTCGGACCCCCTGCAGGACAGCGTACAGCGCGTAGCGGAGCAGGAGGTAGCGTGCGCACGTCCGTGTGCATGTGGGTGTGTACGCGTGTGTTGTGGGCACGCGCACAAGTATGGGGAGCGGTGGTCTAACGGTTAGCGCGCTGCGCTACGAACCCGGCGACCCGAATGATGCCCGTTCACGGTCAACACCAGTGATGTTTATCTGAACCGGTCGTGGGCGTTCCGTAGGTCGACTCAGCCTAAAATGAGTACCTGGTGCAGTGTGTAAACATCACCTATTGTGAGGCGAACGCGGCCAGGCGTGGTGTTGGCCACCCACCTCCCTTGTGTGCCATGCTGGCCTTCATAGGTGCTCGCAAACAGCACTTGCCCCAATAGTCTGTTACAGGATATATGGGGGGAGGATCTTTGTCTTTGGGTGTTTGTGCGGAGCAGTTGGGCAGTGGTTCGCGCAATGCGCTACAAACCCGGCGAGTTCGATTCCCGCTCATGACAAATTACAGTGGTGATTATCTGAACTGGTCCCTCCCCTAGACCTCACCGCCATCGTCAAATATCCATTGAGCATGCAGCTGTACAGAACCAACTGACCGGAGCGTCGCATCGCCTGCCCATGAGTAAGCTATCAACTATTTTTATGTGACCAGGTAGGGCCCACCTAGCTATACAGCTCTTTTTCAGAAGCGACCTGGCCGCAAATGATAGCTCAACAAAGTGGCTTATGTGGAAATTTAAGGCAGCCAAGTACTCTAAATGGGGAGGGAAAAAATGGGAGGACCAGGACAAAATTCCACGCGACCACGGGGAGAACATGCAAACTCCAAATATACAGGCGCCAGACTCGGAATAGAACCGATGACCACCTGTATACCAGACAAAGGAGTTAACATCTCGCCACCGTGGCACCCAGTGAGTTTGCTCACAAGCCTGCCCCGTGCTCTCCTCCTCCTCACTTTACAGGCGGTCGTGCAGGACCTGGGCAAGGTGGAGGCTGAAATGTCGTCGCTGGACAAGGAGAGTCGGGAAGCCCTTTCGGCGCAGCCCGGCCAGTCTCACAGCGTGTCCTCGCTCGCGTCGGAGCTCGCTCTCACCACCCAGAAGCTGGTGCAGGTCAAGGCTCTGTCGACGGTCTACCTGGAGAGGTGAGTGTCTGTCTCGCCACGCTCGCATGTCACCGCGGCGCCGTTACCCGAACGTCCCCCCCCGTATAGGACCGCAGAGCTTGGGCGGTTGTTGGTTCTGCTTCATATGTTGGTCACCAATGGCACACTCCGATGCGGATGCGGTTGAACCCCGACCCATGCCGATGATTATGAATGATTAATTATACTTTTCGTGCCACCACACCGCGTGACTCCAACTGCCACCGTTTCCTCAGCGTTTGAGCTTCCTGAACCGGGGGCCCCATCCCAGAGTTGTCGCGTCTGCGAGGAAGTTTTACGGAGTTCTGACTGCCTTTGCCGTACTTTTTTATGGAGCTTGCGAATGACCCGCTCTAAACGTCCGTGCAATTTTCTGTGGCCTCTGTCGGCAGGCTGAAGAGGATGAGCATGCTGGTGGGAAGCTTGCAGGAGGCCGATGTTCTGCTGAAGGAGCTGGAGGGTCACCTGTACGAGGAGGAGACTGTTCCCACCGACCCGGCCACAGTCAGCACCTACATCGTGCAGCTGCAGGTGAACGTTTATGCATTCGGTCCGTCGGTCTGTCCGTAACGGGGGGAGCCACTGTGACTCTCATGAAGATGGTTCAACCGTGTATGAAACTTTCGTGTAAACTTGTGCTGCTGTGAAGGGTGTCTTTCCCCTTGAGGAAACCAGCCAGGTTGTTCAAATAGTTGCCCAAAGCTTGGAGATACAAACCAGATAAAACAAATATTATTTGCAAACAGGCAAATACTGCCCCATGTGACATGTGACCTCTCACTGCCCCGTGGGACAATGCCTTACCCCTCCACGTGACATCTTACTGCTGCCCCCGCATAACATTTGCCGCCCTTCTCCCCTGCCCGTGCAGGCCTGGGCAAAGGAGGCGGAAGAGACGGAGGGCCGCAAGGGGGGCCCGCTGGCGTCGCTGGACGTGCAACTGCGGGCGGCGCGCGAGTCGGGCGGGCGGATGCTGAGCGAGCACGGCGAGCGCGACCCCGACCTGGAGCGCGTGGCGGAGCGTGCCGAGCACACGCTGGAGCGCTGGCAAAGCGCGCGCGCTCAGATCCGTGCCAGGTCAGTCGCGGATTCCTTTCCCGAGCCAGCCCCGCCGCGATGCTCGCCATTGAGCGTTCAGGATCCGAAACATCTTCGAACGAATTTGGCTCGCGTTCCAAGCCCAATTATTGCGTCGATTTTGGGGAGATTTCAAAACGGTTGATTTTCTTTTTTAAATCCTTTATATTAAGTTCGCTTGCTTGCTTAGGACCGTGCAATCTTTCGGTCGTTTTTTAACCCACTTCCCGTGATCCAATCGAGCTGACATTTTGCACACAGACTCGTTCTGCGTGACAATTAATGTTCGTGAAATTTTTTTTCCAAAATTTTACACTGTTTAGGGAAATTATTTTTTATATTTAATTACCAATTGCTTAATGCTGCCAGACAATCATCTGACCCATAGGTGGCAGCCATCTCAAACCAGAGGACGAGAGGACTCTAGCCGCCCCGATGCCACGCATATAAAGGATTTATAGTGAAAAACTTTGTTTTTACGGGTTAATTTTTTCCACACTGAAGAAGCCAAGAGTCGTGCTGCCGACTTCGCACACGTTGAGCGAGTCGAGGCATGTGCAGACGACGCGGTGACGCTGATTGCTCGCTCGCGGTGTACTGGCCGACGTCGCACAATTTGAACGTTCAGTTGACCCAACCCCTGGCCCTACTTGCCCCCACCGGAGCCAGATTCATACGTCTTGTCAGGAAAGCTTATCATGGGATTTGTTCCAGGTCCGCTTGACCGATAGGCAGTGGAAAAGCGCCCGCACTGTGATGGACCCGTGCTGGCTCTTCGAGTGTGCCACAACATTTTAAAATATGAAATCAATTCTGAACTGAATCAGGGCTCCAAATTGTGAAAATGAATTGAAATTCCTGGTGCATCATTTTACACACCCATTGTGCTGTCTCTTGGCTTGAAAGTATCATCACAAATGGTGTCACCGACAAAGGCAAAGATTCCCCTATAGCCTTAACAGACTATTGGGGCAAATGCTCTTAGCAAGCATCTATAAAGGCCAGCACTGCACACGAGGGGGTGGGTGGCCAGCACCATGCCAGGCCGCCTTTCGTGTCCCCAATGGCGATGTTTACGCACCGCACCGGGTAGTCATTGAGGCTGAGTCGACCTAGGGCAGGCCCAGGACCAGTTCAGATAATCGTCACCGGTGTTGGCCGTGAGCGGGAATCGAACTCAGGGGTCGCCGGGTTCGTAGCGCAGCGCGCTAACCGTTACACTACCGCTCCCTACACAAAGACACACACACACGCGCATCGACATGCCGTGCTGAATTTTGCTGTGCGGCCGTACAGGCTGAAGGAGCTGGAGGGCCTGGCGAAGGTTCTGCGGTCGTACCGAGAGAGCGCCGTTTGGCTGGAGGCTTGGCTTGACAAGACCATGAAGCTGCAGGAGAAGGTGCAGGCGAGCAAGATTGAGGACGTCCGGGGCCTGGAGGAGCAGCTGGAGAAGCAGAAGGTTCACGCGTTCCTGCGCCTTGACCACCATCATCTCTCTATCTCTTCCCGTCCAGCCCCTTTACAAAGGCCGCTGGGTCCACAAACTTCCGGCAGCAGCAGCAGCAGCAGCAGCAGTCTTACACTTTTGTATAGATCATATATATTCCGTCTGTTGCTGGTGTTTGTGTCATTACTCTCCGTTCTAGTGCCTCCTCCTTCTCCGCTCCATTAGTCCATCATTACAAGCGTAATAATCTACCATCATCAACAACAACAATTAGCCGTGATCCATTCCACGCTGGATGAAGGCCTTCCCAAGCCGTCGCCATCTCTCACAGCCTTGCGATGCAACAATCCGTCAAACACCTGCGCACTCGCTGATTTCATCGCTCCGTCTCCATGATGCATGGCCTCTCGGGCATGTGCCGTTCTTTGGCTACCAATCCATTGTTGGTCTTAGCCACTGGCAATGTCTCCTGCCCAAGCCCAGTCATTCTTAAGAGTAAACTTGACGTCTACAACTTCTTGGTTCTTTCGGTAAAGTCACGTAGAAAGGACGTCTACAACTTGCACACGCTCTCCGAGCCCACGTGTGTAGCTCTTTCCGTCTCTCTGTGATTCCAAGCGATGGCGCCCCTCCTCCTCCACGCTTGAATCAGAAATATTCCCTTCGTACACGCACGATAGGGACACATGTACCGCGGGCATAAGCATCGGGTTTTAATTGGCGAATCATTGCATCCCAGCGGGCAAAGTTAACGTTGCCGTTTGTGTCACTCACTGCAGGCTCTGGCGATGGACATCGAGAAGAATCAGGTCAAGGTGGACGAATGCCAGAAGTACTCGGAGCAGTACTCGCTGGCCGCCAAGGTAAACACGCTCAGTGTGACGCGCTTACTGAAAGCGTGTGCATTGGTTTAACTTGATAACAAGCACTCCGCTCCTTTGAGCACTGTTGGTGTGTACTCGTTATTTGAGATATTTGTGTGTCCCAGGACAAACACATCAAGCATTATTGTCTCACCCAGGCCAAACGTTTATTTTTTTATTTTGCACTATCGTCTGTTCCGGATATCGCTGCTGGTGCTAGGACTCTCGTTTGACTTGTCTGGGTCCACATTCTGTGTGCACGCTCCAGTCGCTGTCTTGTACCTTCCTCCGTCGTGTCCCTCTCCCATTGGTCTTTCATGTTGTTTCGTTTTCTGTTATCCCCCACTCATTCCACTTTCCCTATTTTAGCCCTGATGATATCTTTTACATTTTTCCCATGTTGCTTTGAGAAACCGTGGCGTCTCAGCGATGAATAAATCCACATCCATACCCTTACCACAAAGAGAGCAATAGATAAACCCAACGGAATTTTCAAAAGGTAGGACTTGGGGTGAGCGAGCTGAAATAAGATTAAAGGCAACAACAACAACCGCCATTCGCCACTAAGTGGCGGTGACGTCACCACGACGCTTGTGATAAAAGGCACACAGGGTAGCACATGACAGTGGTTAAGTCACATGCACAACGATTTGGTTACAGTGAGAACCGATTGGGTTGAGGTCCTTGCGCACCATGCTCCTCTGTTAGCCACGCTTTCGGCAAAAACCGTTTCGGAGCTTGGCTTTTTTCGGTTCTTGGCCCTCATGTTTGGAATGCTGTGCCTGAAGAAACTATGTTTAACCGCTAAGCTTCTCCCATTTCAAATTGTTGCGGCTTTACATTTCCCGTACGGCACTCTGAAGCCCTTTGTTGGGTCTGCTGCGTCTAATAAAAACGTTCAAATAATTCTAGGTTGGGGGCACATTTGCACTCTTGACACTGAATGTCCTGATGAAGCTGCACCTTGTGCCCTAGGACTACGAGCTGCAGCTGATGACCTACAAGGCGATGGTGGACACACACCAGAGGTCGCCGGTGAAACGTCGCCGCCTGCTCTCCACCAGCGACTCCATCATGCAGGAGGTCAGAGGTCAACGGGAGACACCCGTCGCACTCGACCGTCCGCTTGCGGGCCTGCCTTGTCTGTCGGTCGGAATACCGACCCACAGGTTGTTGTATCGCACCGGCGTGTTTTTAAACTCGTGGCGCCACCGCGGCGCTGTTAACGCAACAGAAGCCAGCCCCAATTATGAAGATTCTTCAAATTGTTGCGGCTTTACGATTTTGGAATGCTAATTAATTAGCAAAATGGTCAGGTACACAAGAACCAATTAAAATCTCACAAATGAACTGATAAAATGGCGTCGTAAAAATTGTCAAGCTGTCACTCTGGAAAAACTTTCGCAAGCCATTAATATCATGGATAACGGCTATATGTTTAGGAGTTTAATTGGTGTATGTTATTTCAACATGTCAGAAAATATAATTTCCAAACAATAAATGAACATTGGCGAGGATAATCAAGACTTCACATTTTTTGCGGAACAGACAACACTGCTCATCGTATGATACACTGATGCATTGTCGTATAGCGATGACGCTGCCGTTGTACGGTGATCACATTGGTGGGTGTTGGCGTTTTTCTGCATAATAGTACATGACCCTGCGGACCCGATACACGGCGCTGGTGACGATGACGAGCCAGTACGTGAAGTTCATCAGCGAGACACTGCAGCGTCTGCAGGGAGAGCAGGTGAGTGCTCGTTGCACACACACACACGGGCGCGCGCGTACTTACGGACACAAACACTCGCTACCACGCGCTACCACGCGCTCATCGTCTCGGGCCAATCAAAGCCTCGGATCTCTGGCTCATGGAGAATGCCAGGCAGAACGGGACACATTGTTTAAAGATTTGTTTTGAACTTTTCCTCAGTTTATCTATCGTCAACTCATGAGTTGTGCATTTGCGATATTTAATTCCTTTAAACGGTTGGTTCAAAAGTTAGTGTGAATGTTTTCATGTTGTTGTTTGATTAGCTGTTGGCGGGGTCGGAGGAGGTGGTGGTGGTATCTGACTTTTGCCATAACGTTGCGGGTTTTTTCTTCTTGCAAAGTGCATGTGCGTGCGCGATTGGTGTTGGGCTTGGTGACAGAGAATGCCGGAGCTTGATTGCGCCTGCTGCTTATGGCACTAACGCTGCCTGATTGTGATGGACCGTGCTTTGGGTGTGGTGCGCTTGACCTCTGACCACACAACATTGGGCACTTGGCTGTCAGAGGAACGTCTTTTCGTTCAATTTGACATTAATGTAAGCACTTATCCAAATATGACTTTTAAAAAATGTCGATGTTTTTTTTACGTAGCAAATTAGATTTTTTGAATAATCGCCGAATACGTGCTGCAGTGAATTCAACGCAATCATCAGTATTTGCATGCGGGAAAGTGTTTTGAAGGTCAAAATAATGAGATGCCCTCTCCGGTCGTTGTTACCGCCGGTTACTGGCATGATTTATCTCCTTCGTGATGACCGAAGCCGGTTTTAATTTATTTTTCGTTTAATCTCCCATCACACAAGGTCATGACATTCTTTACCCATCACTGCCAGGTTTATGTTGTTTTTGTTTGTTTATTTATTTGTTTAAATGGATATGGCACTTCTGACATCTCCTTCTTGCTTTCTCATTTCATGAAAAAAAAAACCTTCCTTCTTCGTACCTTGATATAAATGAAGTGGGCACCGTAACAAACACAAAATATACGTGTGCATTTAAGCACTCGCCAACACGATACTGAAGGGAAAAGATTAAAGCGTAGGGTGAGGGTTGTTGCTGCAATCAATTTACGATCATCTGACGTAAACCAAAGTGCATTTGAAACTCAAGTTTGTTACCTCTGTTATGAACCAGGTGAGGTTGCATCGAGTCTTCGACATACTTGCACCTTTTTGCATCTTGATTTGAAATGTGACAAGGTGCATGTACAGAAAATCTTGACAAGCTGAATTGTGCAATTATATTGGAGCGTTCATCTTTTTTCAAGGTTTCTGAGACAGGCATGGGAACGATTTTAAATTGCTGTGCATAACAGATGCATTGCAGGACAGGGCAAGGACCTTGGCAGTTTTGCATTGTAGAGGTGATTAGGATGAGGAGGCTGTGATGGGTGGGGCACGTCGTTTGCAGTATGTAGGAGGGCAGGTTACTGAGAGGCATTGGAGTGGCGTTGTGTTGCTGCCACCACAATGTGCCAGTAGTTTTTGTATTTTTTTTGGTTTCCCGATATTGTTCCATTCCTGTGTCCGGTGAAATCCAGCCAGGTGGCTCGGTTGTGAAAGAGCGCTTGGTCTCGTAGTTGCAGGGTTTCTGAATTCATATCCCATTTTTGTGGGGTTAAAAAAATAGAAACTTGTACCTATGGATAGACACAATATGACAGTTTCACCGCTGGCTTAGGTCTGATGCGAGGTTGATTAGCAATCTACATTGACATTTGACTATGGTCTGTGAAGACACATTTTATCAAAGTGTGACCGATACCTTTTTAAAAATATATGCATTCATAAAATACATGCACGGATATTTTAAAAATATTTTAAGACCTGATGTCTTTCATGCCACTTTTTAAGTAATCGGTTTCGTTTGCGACCCAGGTTTTTGTTTTACATTTCAGTAAAAAAAACCAATAGCTTAAAATTGGTCGCATTCTTAAGCGTGCAATTGGTTAATGAGTTCGGTATTTCTTTCTGGCGGGCACTGGGAGGTGATTGCTTTTTGATGAGTATTGGAAAGGGTCATTAGTGCCAGCGTGTACGGAAGGTCAATTTGTTCTGACCTTTTCAAAAATATCACAAGTCGCACACTCGCGTATTATTTTAAAGCTTTGATGCTGGAAACAGCCACCTGTGCTCTTGAAAATATATTTAAATAAAATAGATGGAGTAATTACTGATGTGAATAAACAGCTGGGTTTTCTGACCCTTTTGCAGTGTTTTCGCAGTTTTGTTTCACTTCTCCTAAAGAGTGATACCCGAAATACACCATAGAATAAAATTGCATTCAGCACAATGAATATAAATTTAACTGTGTACTCAGTTAAATTTATCAATCAAGAAAATGGCACAAACCAATAAGAACATGCAGCCAATGTACTCAACCCTAAAACATATCTCGATATTCCTACTATAAAATTTACCTGTCCTTTTTAGTTTTCAAATGTGCCTTTTTTACTTTCGACTCCTCTGGAAATCTGCCTGCGCTCTCTGCGGGTGCTAAATCGAGTTTTGCGTGTCGCCTGTGTGTGCTTGTAACATTCCTCTCGGCGCAAAGACAAAGCGAGCGACGCTGTGGTAACAATAAATGCACACCCTCCGGGGCCTCAAGACTCTGTCCTGTGTCCTCTTTTGTCAGGGTTCTGGGGCTGTGTGGATGCACTCTGCGCAGCCGGTGGAATTTTTTCTTTCCCTCCGTTAACCGTCTTGGGGGGGGGTGAAAAAAATCAATGCATGGAACTCTCGTTTGGTTCTTCATTCTCTCAAAGGGACGATGCTTCTTTTTAAACACCTTCCGTGTATCAATCCCGCTGCTGCGTTTTCGCGAACTCTTCGTACTTACAAAAAATAACACACATGACAGGCAAGTTTTGGAATTAGTTTAATAATGGCATGTATCTACCCAGAAAAAGCTGATGAAATATCAAGGCTCTTTTCATAAAAGTGCTACATTGGGATGATTGGTTAACACCTAGTTTAGCTTACAAGCTCAGATGCGTTCCAAGCATATTCATTCTGATTTGGTTGTAGGCCAAATCACGGGAGTCAATTACATGCAATGCTCATTATTAAACGAACATGTGGAACTCATTTATATATTATTGAGCCCCTTAAGCTGCCTTTATAAATGACATTCAAATGGATGATCACTCAATGGGGTTCAGATACATGTAGCTGAAATTAAACTCTGTGGAAATGTCATCACAAAATGCTCCCCTTCGGTATGTCGAAGATACTTCACCTACTCTTCAAAGTGCTTGCGTGTCTGTCGAGCCTGCTGGTGTCAATCAAAGGCCTTCTGCTGTTTGTGTGTTGCTGCCTCCTCAAGATTCAGCCTAAAACTTTTCCTTCGGATACTTCCTGCAGTGTTCTCTCAGCTGTCACTTCAAACTGCTGTCTTCCTAAAGCAAGTGCCATATCGGTTTTGAATGGGGAAAAAAGTAAACTATGAAAACAACAAAACAAAAATGACAATAAAACACTGGAAGGGGTGAAACAATCTCTAACCCAGTTTTAAAAAAGCATGAAATGTCCTTGTTGTGATGTTTGGGTTTGCCAATAACACGCTAAATCATATTAATGAATGCTACCCTAAATTGAGTGGACCTTGGATGCTTTTGTAACCTTCGGTGCCTGGCATTTGTTGTGGCTTCAGTTTATGACCTCAAAACACAAACCTGGTGATATATTCAAGGCTTATTGCAGAAAACGAGGGCGCGCAATGCATCAACGTCGCTCACTGTGTGAAATATCTCGTGCCACTCCATGTACATAGAGGCAAGCAAAACAGATGAGCCAGCAGCCGCAGCAACAACAGCTGCAGCAACAACAACAGCTGCAGCAGCAACACAGCGAAGCGCAGGATGCCCTCCGACGCCTTGCCGACATTCAAGACGAACTGGAGCGCCAGCGCCAAATCTCAGAGAACTACGCACGTGGCAAGGCCCAGGCAGAAGAGGAGGCAGACCGCCTTAGGCAGCAGATCCATCACGACGCCAGCAAGCGGCGGTCCTATGCCGAGGCTACGTCATCTCAGAAGGAGGCCCTGGACCAGCAGGTGGTGGAACTGCGGCAGAGCTCGAATGCTGAGGTTCGCCGACAGGCTGCCCTGGTAAATGATGCCGTGAGCCAGAGGAAGCAGGTCGAGGAGGAGATCCTCATAATCCGCATGGAGCTTGAGAGGGCCTCCCGCCGTAAGAATGAGGCGGAGGATGAGCTGGACGCCCTCCGAGCCAGAGCAGAGGAGGCCGAGAGACGGCTGAAGGCCGCCGAGCAAGAGACTGCCAAATACCGTCAGCTGGCCGAGACGGAGGCTCGGCGCAAGGAGGAAGCCGAGGCGGAGCTCAAGAAAAAAATAGCGGCCGAACAAGAGGCTGCAAGTCAGAAGAGAGCGGCCCTTGCTGAGGTAGAGAGACTCAAGAAGATCGCTGAGGAGGCCCAGAATAGAAAGCAGCAAGCGGAAGAGGAGGCAAAGAGGCAGATCGCTGTTGCTCAGGAGGCGTTCCAGAAGAGTGCAGAGGCTGAGATCCAGGCCCAGAAGGCCACCTTTGTGGAGCTGCAACAAATGCAGCAGGAGGAACAGACAATGATTGTGGACTTGAAGAGGGAGGCAATGCTACGCAAGAAGGTTGCAGACGACGCAGAAAGGGCCCAGGCGACCGCCAAGGCTGAGCTTGAGATGTGGATGCAAAAAGCACAGGAGGCCTTGGAGCAGAAAAATAAGGCCGAGGAATTGGCGCGAGAAAAAAGCCAGGCTCAGCAGGAAGCCGAGAAACAAAAAGCAGCAGCTGAGCGTGAGGCTAAAGCCCGGGGTGAAGCTCAGCAACTGGCGCAGAAGCAGAAATCGCAGGCTGAGGACGAGCTGGGTAAACAGCTCAAGCTTTCCGAGAAGACGACGCAGCAGAAGCAACAGGCAGAACAGGAGGTGAAGAGACTGCTCATACTCATGCAAGACTCAGAGCAGCAGAAGTCGCTGCTCGAA